AGCTCCTTGTTGTAACGTTTAGCTCTGTTGTTAGGCTTATTAGTTGAGAAGATCACGGGGTTGTATTGTTGAGCTTATGGTTTTGTTGTTAAGATCATGGACTGGTTGTCAAGGTTATATGCTGGTTGTCAAGCTTATGTATTGGTTACTAAGGTTAGCGCCCTGTTGTTAAGGTTAGCTCCCTGTTGTCAAGCTTATGTATTGGTTGTTAATGTTAGCTCTCTGTTGTCAAACCTATGGAATGGTAGCTAACATTAGCCTCCTGTTGTAACGTTTAGCTATGTTGTTAGGCTTATTTGTCTGTTGCTAAGGTTTTAGCAGTCCTCATTGTGTCCAAAGAGCATAGGGAATTGTTGAGAATATCACGAGGTTGTTGATAAGCTAATTTTTTGTTTGTTAAGGTTATAGCATGACTGTAAAGAAGGACGTGGCATGATACAATGTTGTATTGTTGAGCTTATGGTTTTGTTGTTAAGATCATGGTCTGGTTGTCAAGGTTATGTACTGGTTGTCAAGGTTATGGATTGGTTTCTAAGGTTAGCGCTCTATTGTCAAGCTTATGGATTGTTTGCTAAGGTTAGCGCTCTGTTGTCAAGCTTATGGATTGTTTGCTAAGGTTAGCGTTCTCTTGTCAAGTTTAGCCTTTTAGTTGCCAAGGTGATCAAGAGAAAAAGTTAGTGGGTTTCTCTCTGCATTAAATGCATTCCATGATAGATTATGTTCCCAAGACAGGCAGTATTATCATCTGTCTCCTCGCTATTCCTAGCCACCACACGGCAACCCTCATCCCCTCGCCTATATCCATGACAAGACCATTTGACACAGCCATCAATCTTCCCATCACCGCCATTCTCTCCCCATCCCAGCCTCATTATCAACTACACGACCTTCGTTTCGAAACCAGAAGGATTATGTCTCACGATGATAGCGCGTGTATACATTGCCATGGTTCGGGGCATATCTCCCGGGATTGCCCTCATGGTCTGAGAGCAAACGCCTCCCCACGATTGCTCCCCATTCCAGATAATGTCGCTAGCAACATTCAGGAGCTTTCTACCTTCGCTCTCCTCACTATTGAGGTGGGTCTGCCATCTTTGGAGGAGCTCAGAGAGATGCTAGGGTATCGCTTCAACGTCTGGGATTGGACGTATGAGATCAAGCGGGTATTTGTAAATAGGTTCATGGTTAAATTCCCCTCTGATGAGCTACTAGATCAAGCCATCAAGCTCAGTCCCGTGAATCTTGGGTCCTTCGTGGGCAGATTCAGGCTTTGGAGGGAGGACCTCAGGCTAAGAACATTGCCCAACCCCATGTTTACGTGGGTCCGCCTCTTCAATCTCCCCTAACACCTCTGGGAGTGGGAGTTCATCCAACCATTGTTCGAGGGCATCGGCCAATATGTGTACTACTCCGCTGACATCACCACGAAGACAAACTTCATAGACTGCAGGGTGCTGCTAGAGATTAGGGAATATTCGGATGTCCCTAAGAGGATTAGGTTTCGTTACACCTCTCCCATGGACCTTCGTTTGATGGAAGGTTTCGTCATCACTCAGATTGTAGGTGGAGAACGTGAGCAGCATGCAAACAATGAGGTTGGTCACATCGACATGTTCGTTGACCAACCTCAAAGCCAGCAACCGCAACTTTCCCGCGCCGACCCGGAATTGATTGAAGTGACTTGGGACGGCAGGCAAATGACGGTGGAGAAAGAGCTGTGGCAACGATTTCTCCAGGCCCAAGGCATTGGGCCGTCTACCCTTCCTCGCGACAAGGGTTTCTCCCACGATTGCGCTTCGAGCAAGGGGAGCGAGGGAGGAGCAGCCGACCCCTAAGTTATCATCAATTGTAAATTCCCATATGTTTTGCTTAACTTGATGACGTTTAGCTCTGTTAACAACCTAGTAATTTATGATAAGCTTTTCGGAATGATTATACCTCTGATAAATTTAAGCCATTTGTTATTAACCTCGTGGATTTGCTGTTAAGGTTACCCCTTTGGGGGTTTGTTGTTAATTCAGGAGCTTACTGTTTTGCGTTGTGCTGTTGAGCTTATGGTTGCATTTGAAGCACACATTAGCAGAATCACGCGATGTTAACCTTATAATATTTACATGTATATTGTTATTAACAACAAAGAATTGTAAGATAACATTTACAAACTGAATTTGAAGGGTTAACATCGCATGATTCTGCTAATGTTAGTATGTTGTTAAGCTTTGGTGTTTGTTTATGAGGTTACGGTTTTGTTGTTGAACTCATGGGCTTGCTGTTAATGTGATACCTTGGGGGATTGTTGTTAAGCCTTGGGGATCTGGCATATCGTAAACTATTGGCTGACAAATACAAAAATCTTTTCAAATTCATTTTGGTTGCATTTGAAGCACACATTAGCAGAATCATGAGATGTTAACCTTATAATATTTACATGTATATTGTTATTAACAACAAAGAATTGTAATATAACATTTACAAACTGAATTTGAAGGGTTAACATCGCATGATTCTGCTAATGTTAGTATGTTGTTAAGCTTTGGTGTTTGTTGATGAGGTTACAGTTTTGTTGTTGAACTCATGGGTTTGCTGTTAATGTTATCCCTTGAGGGTTTGTTTGCAAATTCAGTTTGGTTGCACTTGAAATCTTTACCTCATCAGTTTGGTTGCATTTGAAGCACACATTAGCAAAATCATGCGATATTAACCTTATAATATTTACATGTATATTGTTATTAACAACAAAGAATTGTAATATATCATTTACAAAAAATCTACATCTCAACGTCATCATCGTCAAGTTTTCCCGTATCTTTTTTCCTCTTCCTGCCTTCAATCAGTAAATACGCTGCTAGCTTCGCACGAACCACCCATGTGTTATGCTCTACGGGCGTGACGTGCAGGACATCTCTACCTTTGATAATCGCTTGTACGAACTGGTAGACATAGATCCCACAGTCATACCTGCAGACAAAAACAAGGAAGCATTGTGACCACTGTTGCTTTCAAACAAAACATAACAACAAACTCGTAACCTTAACAATCAGTTTCCAACATTGAATTCCAACAAGGGTTCCGGTAAACTTACGACCCCTTTTGCTCCTCACACGGAACTTTGATTGGGTCGAATACGCTGCGCAATTGGTTCTCATTGAAGCCAGCTTTAATGTAGTTAAAGGCTTTGACGATTTTGAGCACAGGTTCCCAATGTCCAGATCTCTCCTTCAAGGAGTCGTAATGCCTGGCAATATCATTTTCGACATCAAACTCCAGTAGACGCCAATGATCGCCTTGGACAATGGGAACTAAGAGGTTAGTACACCCTGCATCGACCAAGTGTTTGATATAGATATCATGCAGTTCTTTGTAATCTGGTTTCGCCATATGTATCTGGTGCTGCAATAAAAAATTAACCCGATCATGTTCCTTTTAACATAGATTATGTGCTGATAGGTAGGAGTACGCCACGCCAGACATAAACTTACACTAAACCAAACAGGGACCACCCCGAATTTTATACTAGACGACGATATCTTATTTTAATAAGTTGACAACAAGTAAGTAATAATAGTATTGTTAAATATGCTAATGAATAAATACCAATCGAAAATCTTACTGCATCATCCAGTCGCCCACCGCGTAATATATTGAGGATCTCAAGCCGGGTAATAGACCCTGTTGATCCATTGTACACTTTAATAAAACTGCAAACAGGGACAAAATAAAAATTATAGTTAGCAACTAACAGTTAGCAGCAAGAACAAACCAGTAAATTTAACAACAGACCCTTAACCTAAACAACAAACCCGTAACCTTAACAAAAAACCCTTAACCATAACAACAAACTCGTAACCTTAACATCCAACCCGTAGCCTTAACAACTATCACGCAACCTTAACAACAAATGAATAACTATAATAAAAAACCCTTAAACTAAACAACAAACAATAACCATAACAAAAAAAACTCGTAACCATAACAACAAACCAGTAACCTTAACAACTATCACGCAACCTTAACAAAAAATCAACAACTATAACAAAAAACACTTAACCTAAACAACAAATAATAATCATAACAAAAAAACCCGTAACCATAACAATTAACCCGTAACCTTAACATCAAACCCGTAGCCTTAACAACTAACACGCAACCTTAACAACAAATGAATAACTATAACTAAAAACGAGTAACCTAAACAATAAATCAATAACCATAACAAACAACCCATAACCATAACAACAAAACAGTAACTTTAACATCAAACCCGTAACCTTAACAACTAACACGCAACCTTAACTACAAATCAATAACTATAACAAAAAACCCTTAACCTAATCTACAAATCAATAACCATACCAAAAAACCCATAACCATAACAACAAACCCGTAAACTAAACAACAAACGTAAATACTTGAGATATGAGGTAAATACTTACTTGTTATATCTGCAAATGCAAAAATGGTTGAGAGTTTTTTTTCTCCTCTTCCGTCAGCAGCGCAGCAACATCTGCTGACACCTTATAATTATGTACAAATGTGTCCTTGTCGCCCAAAAACTTGATGATGAAGCCTGCTGGAAAGAGAATCCCCTCGTTCAGCTTATTCATGTACATTTCTTCTTCTAAGCTCATAGGGGAACTCATGTGTTTTTTTCAGATAGAGTGGGCGTCACTTTGTAGCCGAGCAGGAGCCAACTCTGCTACCTTTTCCTGCACCTGCGCTTCCTCCTCCCCAACCACTTCTATTATTGCCTTGTTCCCTATGTTGTCTTTTTCTTTCTTCTTCTTCCCTTCAGTGTAAGGGGTGACTACCCACTTGGAAGGCTTCACCGATCTTTTGCATATCTTCCGTTTAGGGGGTGCAGCAGCGGCCACCTTCTCGCGTGCCCCCGTTGCACCCCTCTTTCTCTTATTCAAAGCCCTTGAAAACACAATAGGAGCATCTTCGTCATCAGTTGATGTCTCTATTGCTGATGGAGGGGCATTCTCTGATTGCTTTATTTCCATCCCAGTGTCCTCCCGCAGAGTGTCTGATTCCAAACAATCCATTCGAAGTATAAATATTAAGAAAACTTAGCCCCTTCTATCTAAACTTAACAATTTCATAGTAACTCTAACAACTGATGCCTAAACACATGGTGAAAAAGTTGCTAACCTATACAAGTTTGCGTCTCCCCATCACCTGCAGAAGGGACTTCAACCGCCGGCGTTATTTCCCTTCCAGTGCCCTCGCGTTGAGTGCCTGTTTCTGATAATATTCAGAGTATAAACAATCAAAAGCTTAACAACCAATACGTAGACATAACAACCAATCTCTAACGTATAGTGCACAAGCAAGCTGACCTGTACAAGTTAGCAGCTCCTTCGCTGGCAGGGACACCTTCTCTCCCTCGTTTATTTCTGCCTCAAGAACCTTGTCAATGCGATAGGCCTCTGGTGGAGGTAATTCTCCTGGCGGAGCATCTTCACTCTCCTTGTGGATATCAGAAAAAATGGTTGTGGAGAGGCCCTCCCTGTTGGAGGGGCCTCACTCTCCTTATTAGCTTCATCAAATAATAATGATTTATTAACATCTCCCTCGTACTGTACATCAATGCCACCCACGGTGCCTGGAGTGTCTGATTCAAAAAATAAACACAAATGAGCTTAGGTACGTCATTGTCAAAAAAAACATAGCATCAGTTACATAACCCTAACAACTAACCCAGATACTTAACAATCAATCTCTAACCTTGGCAATAAATCCCTAACCTTAACATTAGATCCGTAAAGTTAACAATACATTTTTAACCTTAACAAAAAATCCATATACTTATCAATCAATCTTTAAACATAACACGCAAACGTAATTGCAAGCCACATATCAATGGGCTGGACACCAATCCTGTAGTGCTCTTATCCTTGTATACAGAGAGGGTTCCGGATCGTGCTTCGCTTAGTTCCTCTCTCAGTCTTCTATTTTGAGCAGACAGCTTAGCCACCTTCACAGAAAGAGCACTTATCTTTACACGGTCTGCAGCAATCATACCCTTGAATTTATTCTCGTTCTTGCGACGTAATGCTTGGTTCATTGCCGCGATGCTCTTCCAGTAGATAACTTGCTGAGGCCATTCTATTTGCTTAACTGCCTTATTTGGCTGCTCGGCGTCTTCATCAATATCCTGTGGCATCACATATGCAATGGACAGGTAGAGTATTATTAAAAGGATTAATTAATTAAAAAACAAATGAAATCCACGATTGCTAAGTTCTTATAACTGCATCAATTGGGATGTCGTCATCTTCTGCTCTCCTCTTCTTCTTGTGAAGAAGGTCTCTTGGGCCTCTGCTCTCCTCTTCTTCTTGTGAAGAAGGTCTCTTGGGCCACGAGCCCTGCCGGCGTCTACTGCAGTCAGTCCCTTAATCCTCCTCTTCTCTCTCTCACACATCTTCCCTTTCTCTATTCCCTGCTCCTTCCCCCACAAACCTCCCTCGATTCTTTGAAGTTGTCTATGTTGCTGTGGAAGCTTTATCGTAGCTTTGCTTGCTTTAGCAACAACAGTGGCCAATCTCAAAGAACCAGCAATCTCCCCAAGTCTCACCCAATTTGTCAGGGGAGGCCTCATCGTACAACCAACTGCTGGCTTCTTGATGCCGGTAAGTTCATAATACCACAACTGCACATTAGAGAAATAAAATCTTAACAAACACCTTTATCCGTAACAATTAATAAGTAACCCTAACAATAAAAACGTAACCTTAACAACCAAACCGTAATATTAACACGTAACAATTAATAAGTAACCCTAACAATAAAAACGTAACCTTAACAACCAAACCGTAATATTAACAACAAAACCATAACCTTGACAACCAAACTGTAACATTAACAACTAAACCCTAACCTTCACAATCAGTAAAAAAACATGATTACTTACACAAACTAGAGGGGTACACCCTTGCAGATATAAAGTCGTCTTCCCTGGCTCAGGACCCTTCAGTGCCCTCTCTATCGCGTCAGATGTCTCACTGAATATATAGGTCCCCCAAGCAGTGTTATTGACCTGTTCGATGCTGTCGACGTATGTAGGCAATAAAAATTGCCTTTAATCCTTATCAGAGAAGTTCAGAACAAAACTGCTAAAACCTCGCCCGAAATAGCAGAAAAAGGGGAAAACACAGATATCTCCCAAACCGTAAGGAATTTGGCGAAACGGAGGAAGCGAACCAAAGCCTTCGGCTTGGTTCGGATGGCCCCATCTCGTCGAGATAGGTGATTTTCATATATAATTCGTCCAATTCCGACTTACGGTTTGAAAGTTACGGCCTATTCTTCGATCCATGCTATAGAGCTCGCCTAACGGCTTGAAGATCGCCTGCAGTATCAAATCCGCCTGCAGACCCAAGTCTGCCCTGCAGTTGAAGCTCGCCTACAACTCGAAATTCGCCTGCAGTCCCAAATCCGCCTGCAGACCCAAGTCTGCCTGCGAGCTCGCCTGCAGACCCAAGCTGCAGACTCGCCAGCTCACTGTCAACTGTCCACTTGGAGTATGGGATAGACTCAGCTCGCCTGCAAGCTCGCCTGCAGACCCAAGTCTGCCTACAGTCCTAAGCTCGCCTGCGGACCCAAGCTGCAGACTCGCCAGCTCACTGTCAACTGCCCACTTAGAGTATGAGAACAGTTACATCAGTGGTCAAATCCCACAAATCAAGGGAGAGGGCACGGTACCCCAAGACCGTCAAGCGGCCGCTCACAGTACGAATGGTTGGGCAGGTGTCAAGTCGACCTGAACATTCATAAATGCAGCTCACCTCGGCTGTCTGAGTCAAGAGCCGGATCCGCTAGCACCCGGCGAGCTGTCCAAGCCTACTCGAGTACCAGGAACCCGCTTTCCCACCTCTCTCGGCCTGAAGAGAGAAGACACGGTACTCCAGGCCCGTCGAATGACTGCTCACGGTACGAGTGATCGGACAGATGCCAGATCAACCTGCGCGTTCATAAATGCAGCTCACCTCGGTTGTCCAAGCGAAGGGTGAAAGCCACCGGCGCTCGGTGGTTGGTCAGATCCATTCGAGTACCTGACAGCCGTTGTCACACGTACGAGGATAGGCCTTCCCATTCCTATGTGATATGACATAAAGCACAATCCCTCGAATGACCATTCATATTGCTAGACGTGTGGTCACATCCCGTAATTCAAGGAGCAGTCAAGCTGTCTCCCTCACATGGTCAAATCCCATGAATCAAGGGATGGCCCATGTCATCCCTTGCCTACTAAAACCCATCTTCAGCCAGCATGAAAGGGGGATTTTTGGACGTTGCATATTCTGCTGGCTAATCTCCCAAAGGTTGAACCTGGACCTTTGCCAAAGGCTCCCTCAAGAACCGAAGCTCCGGCAGCAACTTTGATCGGATCGTCCAAGGGAAGCAGGCTCGGCACGGGCACCGAGCGAGGCGTCCTATCGCCACCGAGGAACCCACGTTAAACAAGGAGGGCATTCCCTCCGCTTCTGTTGTAAACATTTGATTAATTAGTTTGTAATAAGCCTTCTTATTAATACAAACGAAAGTTCCCTGTTTTCGGGAGATCAAAATTTACACCATACAGATTCAGATGAATTGGTGGTGGCGCAGTCTGACGAAGTTGCTGCAGGGACCACGGTTGAGTCCCTTGTGATCAAATTCGAGGGGTACTTACAATCGTCCTCTTCTGGCAGCAATACATCTCGCGATGACTGCAGAGTCGTGCGGGTGGCCCAGCCCCAAGAGGCCGAGGCAACCAAGCCTGAGGGATCTGCCCAAGCCGAGGCAGAGGGTTCTTTTCCCCCCTAACCAGTTGAGGCCGAGCCGAGATTCGAGAATGCGGGTCTAGGAGCTGCTGGGTGGGTCGATGAACGATCCTCGCAGACCCCTGTGCAAAAGGAATCAACCATTCGTGTCGACGCAGAATACGCCTCCACCGTCGACATGAACGCTCCTCGTTCAAAAAGATCCAAACAGCGGCAACGAAAAGCTCTCGCTCGTTTCAAGGAACAATCCCTCATCCCCCACGACAGACTGAATTATTATTCAGGCTTGAAAGGAATCAACCCCTTGAGCCAGGTTCCCAGTACGGGCGAACCGCTCAAATCGGGCAAGCCTATCAGTTTAGGCGAACCCATCTCTTCGAGCCAGGTTCCCAGTTTCGGCGAACCGCTCAAATCAGGCGAGCCTAACGGTTTAGGCGAGCCCCACATCTTGAGCCAGGTTTCCATTTTTGGCGAACCGCTCAAATCGGGCGAGCCTAACGGCTTAGGCAAGCCCAACCTCTTGAGCCAGGTTCCCAGTTTTGGCGAACCGCTCAAATCGGGCGAGCCTAGCAGTTTAAGCGAGCCCCACTCTGTGAGCAAGGTGCTCAATTTTGGCGAACCAAGGGCACCTGGCGAACTCTGCAGTTTAAGAGGGCTTCGTCAAACAAGCGAACTTCACCAAGCTCGCCTGACGGCCCAAGATCGCCAGAAAGGCGAAGCAACAGCTCGCCAGACAGGCGCAGGCACACTGTGCCAATCTCGCCTGACGGGCGAACCTCGCCAGCATGAACCTCGCCAACACGCTCACGCCCAAATGGGGGTGGCCACCTCGTTTGCCTGCACGGGTCTGACGTCCGTCTCTGACGACGACGACGATTGCTCAGCAGTGGCAATGTCGGAGACTTCAAGCTCAGTTCAGGGCAAGCACACAAATGTGCACATGACTGACATCCCTGAGGAGATGTCTAGGAGGCTCGACGAGCAACAAGCAACCATCGACTCCCTGAAGGAGATGTTGGAGCAGCTCCTGAGCGAGAAGAAGAGGAAGAGAGAGAGGACTTCGCGGGCTTCGCATAAATCCTTGAAGCACAAAGAGCGGGTGCCTACTCCTTCTCACTCCTCATCCGAGTCATCTAGAGGAGCGTCATCTTCGGGCCATAACCCAAGAGACAAGAGGTTTGACGATCTCCAAAGTCAACTCGACGCCTTGAAGCTCCAGAAGCATGCGAACAAGCTGGGGGTTGTCAGACCGTATCCAATTGAATGGGATGCGGTCTCCTACCCGGCAAAGTTCGAGCCGCTGGACCTCCTACAGTTCAATGGCAAGGGTTCTCCTACCCAGCACCTCTACTACTTCCAGGCGCAAACTGGACACATAGTGGGAAACGATCCCATTATGACTCGACTGTTCATTGGTACCCTCAAGGGGGTCGCTTTTGAATGGTTTCGCAGATTGAAGCCCGGGTCCATCGCCTGCTGGAAGGATATGGAAAGGCTCTTCATGGCCAGATTCTTCGACGATGACACAGAAGTATCTATGGCCACCCTGCTAACTGTGAAGCAGTGGAGGATAGAGTCTGTAAGCAACTTTGTCAAGAGATTCAGAA